TTGTGCTCGGACTGTGTGGTGATCTTGAGATCCACCCTTAACGTTGCTTTGTTTCTTCTCTTGTCTGGTCTTGTGACCATCTGTTGTTCTTGATATCCCTCACTTATCATGTGGGTGTGTGTCAAATATATTTGTATGTTATTATTTAGGGTATAATGAGGTTAGCTATAGGGGGTATGATTTCTAGGGTTTGCTATATGTACCCAACCCCTGCTAGTGACATCTCGTTCTGTTGCCTATCATTCTGAACACTAAGTGGGGGCGCTAGGTTGGGGAGTTAAGTGGGGATGCTAAGTAAGTTTGGGTTGTGTCCAGAAATTATCATCCGCACAGACTCTTGTGCTTGTGAGTATCATGAAATTTGCTTCCTTCCTGATCCAATCAAGGTAAATGTTCCTTTTCCCCACGCTCCCCAATCTATTGATATTGAGGGCGTTGATCTTAAACGTGTTCCGTTTACTCATTTGGCCACTATTGGTGATCCCACAGCATCCACGGGTCAAGAAATTTGCGTTACAAAGATGAGACTACATAGGACAACAGCTGACAACAATACACTTAACGCCGCTCCAATTGACATAACGTCATTGCACTTTTGGATCTCACCCTCCAAACTACTCTCCCTTGTTGCTATCACTTGCCATTCCCCCTGATAAGTCACGTATAGAACTCCTTGATGAACGCGAGAGTGAGAGAACCCTTGCTGCTACAGGTGGCTGCACCAGCCTTGGCCAGATGGGTCGTGTGGAAAATGATGGAAAGCGTGCGAATCTAAAGAGTGCAATAAGGGATTAAGTCCGCCGACTTCGACAAAACATTGCGTGCAACTCACGTAACCTAAAAACATGAGCAAGTATGCGTTTGAACGATCTTAATATCTAATTTCCAACATGGTAAAGCACGCCTTCAACCAAGATCTAGGACGATCGCTATTTTGGTTTAAGTGCGACGGGGTATCCTGGCGGAATTACTTGGCAGCCACGGATTAGATCTAGGAATGGCTTAAGCAAAAGTTCGGATCTGAAAATTGAGGAGTTGGTAAAACCCTACCATCCCAAACCTCGCCCTACAACAATCCCCAACAACCCAAAATGCCAAACATCCCCAACACCAAAGGTGCTGTAGTGACTAGCAAAGGTTTGTTGGTGCTTGTTGCCCAAGTACTTGCTGCCCTTCTCTCTGTCCGGAGTTTGCATGGGGCCACATACATCCCCATGTGTCCTCTCCACCTAAGGCACACAAACTGGAACAGGGTATAGACCCTTGTCTAACGTGGCTTCCATCACCACGGCTCCACCCTTACGAACCGTGCACCTTCCCATGGTGAAGGTGCATGCGTATCCTTGCCTAGCAAGCTGAGAGCAGAGAAGGTTGGCTGCCAATCCACGAAAATGAAGCACACCCTTCATATTCAGAACCTCCCCCACCTTCCTCTTAATGGTGATGGTGCTGATGCCGGTTGCTTGCAGCGTATCTCCGCTCCAACGATCACATTTCTTGAGTTAGGGGGGAGGGAGTGATATGTAGTGAAGAGGTCACATCGTGGTACCATTCTGGAAGTGGCACCAGAGTCTAGAACGAGGTGATTTGAGCCAGCCGACACACAACTAGCAAGCGCCGTCTCCTTCTCCAAGGTAAGGAAGGAGAAACCGTCATCCGACGAGTCCTCCTTTCCTTTCCCACCATCATTTGCCGCTGCTGCTGCCGCTTTTCCTTTGCTGCCCTTCTTCTTCCAGGCTCCATTCTTCATCCTCTTCTCCACCCACTCAGGCCTAGTAACAGGTGTAGCCTCTCCTGGGTAGCCTTGGGGCTTCCACCCATCTGGCCGGCTCCAACACTCCTTCCACGAGTGCTTTCGGTTGCATCCAGGGACGAGGCACTTGTCGTGCTCCTTCGTCTTCCATCCACCCTCTTGCCGCGGCTGGAACTTCTTGGAGGCAGCCCTATCACCTGCCCCTATTCTCCCTTCATTCCTCTACCAGCATCACACTTGGGAGCCTCTTCAGAAACCAACACCTCCCATATCCAGGGCTTGGTCCATTTCTGCAGCTCTAGGTGAAGGTATTGTAGTCGAGCCTCGTTTACCTCTTGATCCAGCCCCTCGAGTGTGGTGTAGATGATCTCCTTCTCATCTACGGTGTAGTTCAACTCCTCCAAGGCTCTCACATACTCATCCACCCTCTGGAGTTACTGCACCATGGTCTCCCCATCGCCATAGTTGTGTTCCATGGTGTAGAACCGCTTCCTCCATGAGAACGCTTAACAGCCCCTTTTGCATATGTCGAACTTGAACTCTCTTCCATGCTTGGGCAGCTGCTTCTTGCTTCCGCTTCATGTTAATCAACATCTTTAGGAGCTCTAGTTGGCCTTCCAAGGCCCAACATATGTACTACAACGCTTTCTTATCCTTCCGGTCCCATGCTTCCTATGCCTTAAGCAGCTCCTCCGCACTAAGCCGTTGCCTTCCGATTCGTTTGCTGCTGTTCCACCATCGCTTCCCTCACTTATGGATGAGCTTGAGGCTCCCCCAGCCCCTGCTTGCACTTGGTTAGACACTCCAGCAGATGCCTCTCCTTCATCAGCTTCAGATCTTCGCTCCGATCCCTCCAAAACGCCCTCTAGGTCTTTAATACCTAGCGTAAACTGGAACCGCCAAGGCGAAAAATCCGAGCCGGTGAACCTAGGAGGGCCATTTAGTTTCTGGGTCATGACCAACCCTAGATCTAGAGGTCCTTCAACCAATTCGAAATATGATAACAGGAGGGAATGTTGCTGGCCTAACCAGCTTTGATACCACTGATCGAAAGCGAGTGAATCTATAGAGTTTAACAAGAGATAAAGTCCGCCGACTTCGACGAAACATTGCGTGCAACTCACCAAACATGAGCAGGTACGCGTTGGAAAGTTCCTAATCTCTACTTCCTAGAATGGTAAAGCACGCTTTCAAACAAGATCTAGGCCGATCGTTATTGCGATTTAAGTGCGACGGGGAATCCTGGCGGAATTGATTAACCCTAAACCCTTCCTTAAAGGTGGCCTCCCCCTTTTTACCAGCCACACCATCACCAGAAAATTTCGGATCCACTCTAGCGTCAGCTCTGCAGGGACGTTCTTCAGCACCACCTCAAAGACTTCTGGGTGGAGAGCACAAGCGGGTAGGAAGTCTGCAATTTCAGGAAACTGAGGGTTCAACTGCAACGCCGTTATGTTGGTACACTCATGGGCAACATCACATTTCCAAACAAAAGCAGCACCATGTTCATGAGTGAAGGTAACCTGAAGCCGACCAAATCGTTCCTTAGATAGGAACATTGGTGGGAGTTTCTAGAACTTCGTCGTTAGCAGCACATTAGCCGACAGCTCCTTCTTCCAGAAGGCCAGGTGTGCCAGGACAGAGTCCTTGTACGCGGATCTTTTGGCACGTGCTTATCTGGAATCAACAGGGTAGAGTAAAGAAGATCTGAGAAGCAACAAGACCAGCCATGACCGAGTCCGCACCTTCATCAAATTCATCGCTGAGATAACCACACTCTTCTTCCATTTCCAGTCCGTCTTGAAAATCCATGTCACGTTCCGCAGCAAGAGGCGATGGTGGTGCTGAAGGCTCATTGCAGCGTGTCTCCTCTCCTGTCTTGATAGTGTCGTCCTTGAGCCCGTTTTCCTTCAGCGCAGACAACCTGGCTGACAGAGACAGATGTCTAGTTTCCTCCGAAGAGGAAGAATCTCTCGGACGTTCTATGGGAATCAGAGTCAACATTGGCTAAAAAGGAACTTCCTTGGGCGTTGGCGAGCCATCGGCACTTAGAGGAGAGCCACGAGCCCTACTCTTGATGGTAAACTTCAAGGCATTTCCATTCAGAGGCATGATGGTACACTTAGCATGTCAGAATTATATTTTAACTGCATGTAGTTCTAGCCATAGTGTAGTTATCATAACTTCTTGCTTGGTGGTGTACCCACCTTTCCTACCCTATTTGTACTCCACTCTTAATAGTGAAATCCCTCTTCTCCTTCTCAACTCTCTCGATAGTCCATGCCTAGCCTCAACACTAGCTTGGCTCCTATGCTTGCCCCTCCCTACTATGCTACTAGTTTCGACATAGCAAATGCAGAGTAAATTGAGCTAGCGAGTAGTAAAGACCAATTGTCTTTAAAAGGCCATCTTCATCACTTCTTATACAAGCGCTGTTAGAAGGAAATGCTGCCATGAACAACAAAATGCGAGCACTGAGATTCGAACTCGTGACCTTCAATCTCTCCTGAAAGTGTCCAAGGACAGATTCTGGACAATTTCTGTTAAGGCGCTGGTTATGACGCACGCAAGTTTCGAACTCGAGACCTTTCGATTCAAATATCCCAAAAGCGTCCTTTCAGAATAGTTTGGGAATATTTTGGGGACAGTTTGGCAAAATCGGTCTCGGGCCGCGTTCGGTTTGAAACTCGGCAGCGAAGTTTCGAAGTCAACGGAATTCGCACGGGAGTTAGAGTCGGTGGTCGACGGAATTTTGGTTGCGGAAATTCTCGTCTACGGGATTCCAATCAATTAAATTTGCCTGGCAAAATTGAAGGCTCAGAATTTCGCGTTGACAGAATTGAGCGTGCGACCTGGGTCGACACTTTCTTGTGTGCTTTTATTTTGTATTGCATTCTAGTATTAAACCAGAGAGCGCAGACCAGATATCAACTAAGCCATTATTACTGCTATGTTTGGGTGTATCTCTGGCTATAGTTTGCCATTTCCTGCAATCTTTGGTGCGTTGGAATGGTTCTTTCTAGCTCTATCAAGCTGCTATAGTTTTGGGATTCTACGTGGTATCCGTCCTTCCGTCACTTTGTTCCTACGTTGGTGTGGCCAACGTTTGTTTTGATCGCGGATGGAGTGGTTAACGAGCGCCGAGGGCCTGAATGCCTGTCAGGATCTGGAGGCATCTGTTCGTGAGCACCACCCTAATTTGCGTGATGAGGAGATCGACCTCGTTGTGGACGGTCGTCTACTACGCATGGTTCGGGAGTGCGCGGCGGATCAACCACCAGCGGGCGGCCAGCAAGGGGGAGCTGGTGGGGGAGGAGCTGAGCACGAGGCTCCTGGTGCTGTGGGCATTGGCGGAGGAGCTGTTGCACCGACCATCGACATGGGATTGATCGGGACGAGCTACAGTCAATCCAGGTTTGGATTTGAACATATCTCTGTGATGCCGCTGCTGGAGGGAAGGCACGACCTCACCACATGGGTCAGCACCATCCGGCCTCAGCTCTAGTGCGCTGATTTGTGACAGTTTTGCGACGGGACAGCACCAACCCCGGCCCCAAACAACCCCATGCAACGAAGGGAGTACGTGAATGGCCAAATGCTTTCATTCATGGTGCTGAATCGCTGTGTCTCTCCGCCCATCCGAATGTCTATCTCTGGTTTCTCTCAGCAGGAGAAAGCCGGGCAGATGGCATGGGCATATATCTTGTCTACTTATCAAGCTCATGATGCCCTCCATGCTCCCTACTTCAGACCCAATTAGCCCAACTCAGGAAGGGAGATGATGAGACGGCGGAATCCTACTGCAACAGGGCCCGCACTATTCGAGCGGAGTTGCTGACCATTGGACAGGAGGTCTATATGGCCACATTCGCTGCACACGTGTTGAAGGGCCTGCCACCGGAGTACAGATTTCTTCGCCCCAAGCTCAACATTTCCAGCCCTGACATAACGGTGGAACGTATGTGCAGCGAGATGTTGATGGAGGAGCAGAATCTTTCCATCGAACAAAGCTACAAGCAGATCACCAGCGATGCATCTTCTTTCTCGAGCGCTGTCAACACGATCGTGGCTACACCAGGGGTCAACGGGAAGGAAGAGAAAGGAGGAAAGGAGCAGATGGACAAGAAGAATGATGGCAAGTGGGAGAAGAAGCAAGCCCCCTTCAAGGGGCGCTGCTACAACTGCAACAAGGAGGGGCACATGGCTGCCAAGTGCCCCAACAAGAAGGATGCAACGCCCGCGGCAGCCACAAACGTTGCTGAAGGAGACAAGAAGGGCGTGGTGCTCACCGTCGCATGTTCAGCTGCAAAGTTGCTGGCCGAAGACAAAAACATGTGGTTCCTTGACTCGGGATGCTCCCAACACATGACCGGCCGCAAGGAGTGGTTCAAGGTGATCCGTGACCCATCTACAATGAAATATGGCAAAGGGTTTGATGGTTTTATGCAAGAAGTCGCCGGTGTTGGTGAGGTTTTGCTAGATAGCACTAACGGCTTGCGTGTGGCCCTGCATGATGTCCTTTTTGTGCCAGGAATGAAGGCCAACTTGGTCTCCCCTGGGCAGCTCACGGACAAAGGAGCAAATCTGCAAACCGAAGAAGGTGTCACTCACATCATCGCATCGGGAGGAAAAGTAGCTGCAACGGCACGCTACCGCCATCATCTTCTCTGCCTTGACCTGAAACCGTGGCCAGCAAGCAACAGCATGGCGGCTGCAGTGGCATGCAACGGCATGGCGGCTGCAGCTACATGCAACGGCATGGTGGCTGTAGCGGCATGCAACGGCACGATGGCTGCGGCGGCATGCAACGGCACGGTGGCTGTGGCAGCATGCAATGGCACGGTGACTGCAATGGCAAGCAACGGCACGGCTAAGGTGGTTGCTGATATGGCACTAGGCAAGCCGGAAGTCAAGGAAGGAGCGGCCAGCCTTAAGACGTACGTGCTGGGCTCCAAAGCAATGCCCAACCTATGGCACACTCGCCTTGGACACGTCCACTTCGATGAGGTGGAGCAGACAGCCACGAGCGGTGGCGTATTAGGCATGGACCTGGAGAAAGGAGGTGATGATATGCCGCGCACCTCCTGCCATGAAGCCAAACTCACTTGCCAATCTTTTCCGCTGCATGACAAGCGAGAGGGTCGGGTTCTTGGGCTGGTCCATACTGACGTGTGCGATCCATTTCAGACCCCAGCCATGGATGGAAGCAGGTACTACATCCTCTTTGTGGACCACGCCTCACGGTACATCTAGGTGAAGACGTTGAAGCTTAAGAGTGACGCGCTTGCTGCCTTCAAGGAGTGGCTTCCTGAAGCTGAATGCCAAACCGGGACGACGCTAAAGGTGTTGCGGTCGGACCGGGGAGGGGAGTTTGCTCTAAACTCACTATTGGTAGCCTTGAGTACAGCTCTGAACATCCAAGTGAGGTTGGATTTGCTGACCTAGCTAGGACGTTTCCCATCCTTCTCTAGCCTTTCTCCCCTAGGGCTCAACCTTCTCTGAGTTCCTAGGATGGTCCCAACCCCTTAAGAGTCCCCTAGGCAATGTTGTACTCACCTCTTCCTTGCATCAATGAAACTACACGTTTTCAGCTGAGCTTACGTTTTCGTTCACTGCGTAGCGCATACACCTCTGATGAAAGCAAGCAATATACAGTTGGAAAGCAGACACTTGAAGCTACGTCTGTCCAAGTTTCAGCATCGTATGTTAACGGAGCTGATCGTGACAGCGTTTTTAAACAGAGGCGGTTCGAAGTTATCAGATTCTGCTTAGGCAGTTTCATGGGCATCCGCAACCCCTAAGTGGACGCTAGACTATAACAGAAACACAGCACTCGAGTGGACCTCATGGGTAGTGTGCTACTGGACTAGGATGAATGGCTATGAACGGCCTTAGCGAGAAGTGAACAAAAGGTGGACGGTGTCAGAAGAAAGGGGTCTAGGAACGACCGGAGCGAGTAGCGAACTAAGTCAGAGTGGCTACTCTAGGAATAGCCGAAGCGAGCAACGAACGGTGCGTGACTGACTAGTCTAGGAACAGCCAAACAAGCAACGAACGGAGTGTGATGGACTAGTCTAGGAACACAGGTCACACCCTGTGGGGAGACCTAATCTCGTGCCAGGAGAGTCAACTGTGTCATAATCCCTAATCATTTGGAACTAAACGATGGAGCGGCTTCTAGCCGCAAGTAAGAAGACATCCAATGAAGGGAAGATTGGATGGTGACCGGCAGTAGTAGGGAGGGGCTGCGGTGCGTATGGTGCTGCTGTTGCACGTGCCTGAAGGGCAGCTCATGAGGTGGGTTAGTGTGTAGGGTGGTACGGGGCGGGGCAATGCTCGAAAAGGGGCGGGACGGACTGCTGCGCTGCGCGCAGCTGCTAGCATGTGTGGATGCTGCTAAGCGCATGGAGGCGGAATGTGCTGCAGCTCCAAAGGGTGTGGGCGGCAGCAGCTAAGAGCGCGCGCAGCAACTGCTATGCACGTGTGTGGCTGCACCTAAGCGCGCGTGCAGCAGCCCTTGAAGCGCGTGCGGCTACGCTGGCAGGCGGGCCGTATGGCAGCTTGCTGTGCGAGAGCCTGTGCGCACGGCTGCTGCTGTGCATGCAGTTGTTGCTGTGCACGAGGCCACCGCTGTGCGAGCGGCAGCTGCTGGTGTGCACGCTGCAGATGCTGGTGTGCGTTTGGCTGCTGATGCATGGGCAGCAGCACGTGTGCGGAAACGTGCGCGCGGCTGCATGCGTGAGCTAGCGCATGAGCGGTAGCGCTCTGCTGGCCGCGTGTGGGGCAGTGCGCGCGGTACGGGGCATGCTACGGGGCGTCACGGAGTGGGGCATGCTATGGTGCGCGTGGTACGGGGCGAGCTACAAGGTGTGTCGTGACGGGGCGTGTTACAGGGCGCTTTTCTAGGCTAGGATGGAACCTCTTGCTGCCGTCGCTTAAACTAAGTAGGTTAGGGACTAGTTGGGTCCACTTCAAGACTCAAGTCCCTTTGCAATGTTTTGAAAGTTTAGTTCAAACCAAATGCCCATTAGCTGAATGGAGCTAGTTTTTTGGAGTTAGGGCATATCTTAGTTCGGGTCATAAGGCCACTTTGGGTCGTCGCTGTACACTTTGGGTCATGGGAGGACCAATGATATTCCAGAAGTGTAGCTAAAATCCGCCTTACTAATTGTCCACGAATCTTGGATGACCCAAACAGTGCCTGTAAGGATTTACATATCCTTACTGAGGCACTCATTAGCGAGGCTATCATGAAGGTCACGCAACGAACCTGCTCGGCCTATTTCGTCGCACCGAACCACTCCCGAGTTGGCCCCGCTCTAATCGCAACATCACCGAGCCATCTTCGCCCGACCTCCCCGCCTAGCTAGCTTTTCCCCTATTTAGTCATGCCATTCTCATTGTATCGTCATTCAGTAATTTCCATTCTCGATATTCGTTATTCTGCGCACTCTGCAAGTTCATTCATAACACCTGGTATCAGAGCTACTGTCTTAGCTCACCTTGCTTTTTAGAGTGTAATACCTCTCGAGGGGGGGGGGGGAAGACGAGGAACTTCAGGAGTTGCGTAGGCCAGGAGAACGAGTTAGTTGCTGAAGAAAAGGACAGCTGGGGAACTCGCCAGACGCAAATGGAGTTTTGCGTCCAAAATGTCGGTGGCGCGGAGAGACGACACGCAAACTGCCCGATTTATGCGGGGTCAACTGTCGTCCAGCCCGACTTGAAGTGCAGCGGCTTTTACTGCATTGGCGGCCGCGTCATCAGCAATTTCGGCAGAAGTGCTCGTGGACAGACGAGACTTCATACCTGCTGACACTTACGGGCTGCAACGGAAAACACGGTGGCTAAATCGCACTTAAAGAGAAGCGGGGCGCAGGCGACGAGGGAAACCGAGGCAAGGACCCTGGTTGGGCTGGGTGAAACAGCACGCGAAAAAGTCGGGGAGCTGCGAAGAAGAAATGGTGCAGTCTACGGATTTCTCCAGACCCGGGCGTCTACACGAATTAACGGCGCAGCGCGAAGCCGAGACCCGGAAGCTGTGGAGCTTTCGTGGCGTGATTGGCACGGCGGGCTGCAAAACGGTTGGGCGATAGTTCCTTTTAACTAAGGCTACCCCGACTCCGATAGTTTTTGCCCCGCCACGGTGGCCGGATTCGCGCGGGCAACAACGACGATACCCTATCCGACAAAAGCGAACGCTGGATGAACGGCGGGAAGCGAATTAGTCGGGGCGTGAAGACAAAAAAAAAAAACGGAAGGAGAGTTGTAGGTGATCCAGGAGATCACTGGAGTGTGGTTGAGCTCGTGTACCACTCCACCGTTAATTTCGGGGTCTACTAGGTGGACCCCGAAATGGTCGGATATTTCAAACATGGAAGCACGGCGAGGGGTGCATCGCCAAGGATACATGGGATCTGCTAAGTGGCTTTGACAGATATGAAGACGAGTGAACGTCAGAATATCAGGGTTGATGGCGGAAACGTCGGGGCTACACGACGGAAAATAATTTCAGGACTGTTGCCTCAACCATGATTTTCAGGTGATCTTCCTACAGTGGAAAAAAAAAAAAAACGAACAAACAAAACAAAACAAAAATAAAAATAAAAAAAAGTTGGAACTGACGGTGTTTTCTTCGGTTCTTGGAGTGCAGTTGAGCCGTCCGGGGACTTTGCCTGAAGGGTCACTTTTTAAGTCGCCTGGCAAGAAACACAGCTGCTGGATACCTAGGACCCACTGGTGTTTAAACGTACACCATGGGAAATTCTTAAGCAAAAAGGGAGCGTCGGAGTAGCCGAAGTTTTGGGATTTACCTGCCGGCGACAAACGATTGATGAAACATCTGCAAAGCGTAAGTGGGAGTTGTTAGAATAGTGAAGATTGGAATGACTGAATTAGCAAGCAGGTCGGTACAAGTAGGAAACCTAAAAGTGTTGTACCCTATATGAACTACCCCACTACAGCCTAGACAGACTATAGCATATATCATTGACACACCCCCATAGGCAAAGTGGGGGAGAACAAGAGGTCAGAAGACCGGTCAAGAAGGGCAAAGCAAGCTCAGGGTGGATCACGACGTCACCACGCATTCTGAGCACAAGCAAATGGCCACAAGGCCAGTTCACATGCAGAGTTATATAAAGGAGAACAAGCAATACAGTGAACACAACCTAGCAAGTGTAAGCAGGCAGGTATATGTATAGAGATCACAGTACAAGCAGTGTCAAGAAGTGAGCAAGTGAGGCCAAGTAGGCACAAGACCTAGCATAGTACAAAAGCGCTGATGATCACAAGGCTGAAGTGCCTTGGTAAAGATATCAGCAGTGTTGGCCTGAGTGGCCACGTAAGTAAGACAAAGCTGACCACGCTGCTACAACTCTCGAGCAAGGAAGTAGCGCAGAGCAATGTGCTTCGTTCTGTGCTCCAGTCTGTGCTCCTGACACAAGGCAAGCATGGCCTTGTTGTCGACGTACAAAACTGGAGAAGAACGAGGCGCCTCTCCCAAGTCGGTCAGCAGGTAGGTGAGCCAGCGTAACTCCTGTGCAGCCATGGCCCCAGCGTAGATCTCAGCCTCACAACTGGAGCTGAGAACAGAAGAAGAGAGGGTAGACCGCCAAGAGACAGAGCCGGAGCCAAGGCGGAAGGTGTAACCCTGTGACGACCGCTGCGTAGCCAAGTCGTCAACCCAGGAAGCGTCTGCGTGACTAGTGAGGACAAATCGAGCCCGTCCTCCAAGCACGAGCCCCATGCCCGACGTACAGCACAAGTAGCGCAACACCATCTTCGCAGCATCCCAGTGCATCTTTCAGTGCCTGCCGGGAGCCACGTAGCGAGCCAGAAGGTTGAGAGGGTATGCGAGGTCAGGTCTTGTGCAAGTCATCAGGTATATGAGGCAGCCCACAAGCTCTGGATACGGGCCACTCGGCTCTACGGACTCGTCCGAAGGTGGAGCTGAGAGCGAGTGACCGGTAGGCAGAGGAGTGGACTGTGGCGAGGAGTACGTTAAGCCAAAGTGCTGAAGGACCTGCTGCACCATGTATGACAGAGTCAAGGTAATGGTGCGCTCTGCTCTGTCCCGGATGATCCGCAAGCCAAGATAGCTTGTCAGCTCACCCAGGTCTGTGCACGTGTGTCTCTTCTACAGCTCGGACTTCACGTGGGCGAGTGCCTCAGTGTCAGCAGTAGCAAAGACCAAGTCGTCTACGTACACGAGAACGTAGAACGGCGGCAGAGCGGTGTCGGTGCGTAGAAACAGCGACTGGTCAGCAGTGGAAGGAGCAAAACCAAGAGCAGCAAGAGTCGTCCTCAGTGTGTCGTGCCACTCACGGGGTGCCTGGCGGAGACCATAGACTGGCCGCCGGAGGCTCCACTGGGTACCTGCAGGAAACGACCCAGTGAAGCCAGGTGGGCGGCGCAGCCAGATCACCTCGTGCAGGCTGCCCTGTAGGAAGGCTGTGCTGAAGTCAAGAGAGTGTAGCTCGTAGTCACGCTGAGCGGCGACGTGCAGTAGCACCCGAAGAGTGGTCATCTTCGGGGTAGGGGAGAAGGTCTGGAAGAAGTCAACTCCTTGTCGCTGATTGAAGCCTCGTGCAACGTAATGCGCCTTGAAGACAGGCGGAGAACCCGGCGGCCGCTTCACCCTGAAAATCCACATGCCACTGACGATTTTCGCCCCAGGCGGGGGAACCTCGTCGACGTAGGTGCCTGTGGACTTTCAGGAAGCCATCTCTGTGTCCATGGCAGTCTGCGACTGAGAGGAGTAGGGACCCTCTATCGCCTCTGCGTAAGAGCGTGGGGTCGGGATGTCTGGTGCATCCGGGTCTCCCTCAGGGGCAAGCAGCATGGATACGAGATGAGGTAAAGCAGCGGCAAAGCACTCAAACTCCTCCTGTCTGTCCTCAAGAACGTCCGTGCCAAGAGCACACTCACCCCCGATGGACGGAGGACAGACGCAGACTCAGACTCAGCAACAAGATTAGCGCCGTAGTCTAGACGACAGGCGGCAGCAAAGCCAACAAGCTCAGCAACTACAGCAGACGCAGCAGTGGACTCAAACGAAGGGTCAATGACAGCAGTGGCCAGAAAACGCGTGACAGTAGGACTAGCAGCACGAAGGGAGTCAGACTCAGGGTCCGGACCATCAGGAAGAGAGGACGCAGGAGGAGACGGCAGTGGGACACGCTCTGGAGCAGTGGAAGGACGCAGATTCATAGAGTGAGTGCCGGGGACAGGGGGAGGACGCTGACGCGGAACATGACGACAAGTGCGAACAGGCGACTAAGGACGAGACTCAGGTGACGCAGGACGAGACTCAGGCGACGCAGGACGAGACTCAGGCGACGCAGGGCGAGACTCTGGCTCACGACGCTCCGTAAGACCTCGAGTCGGTCCAGAGTAAGGAGAAGGACCAGGCAGTGGAGAGGCTGGCAGTTACCGCGACTGTGACTGGATAGGCGGT